CTAGAGCCGAAGGTGACGACCTCCTACTACTTGGAGACTTCAATGCCAAGAACAGTGCGTGGCTCACCACAGACAGAACAGATCGCCTTGGGGACGACATACAAACTCTGCTACACACATACGGCCTCACACAACATGTCAGATTCCCTACTTACATCCACCGACAAACACCTCTCTCATGTCTAGACCTTGTTATCTCCTCACTCCACACCAATGATATTCATATCCAATCACTTCCACCGTTTGGCGCATCCGATCACACTACTATCAGTGGCCACATCGATAATCAACTGCCCCCCATAATTAACAACTCCCCTCCACGATCCAGAAGCACCACATTCTGGTCATGGACAGACAGCACTATCCACCTTCTTCGAGAAGCCCTTTCACGCACAAATCTCAACCACCATCCAAACCAACACGACCCATGCCCAGTTGACACCTTCTGGCGATCCTGGCGTGACAATGTCATGAGCATCGCCCAAGAACACTGCCAAGTTACTCGCACTCACCCCCCTTGGGACAGGAAGAACGTGCCAGCACGACCATGGATATCAAAGGGCCTCTTGAAAGAGATCAAGGATAAGCACAGAAAACACAGAATATACCTTCACTCACGCTCGCCTGACGACTGGAACACGTTCACTGCCCAAAGAAACCGTGTCACCACCCTCCTGCGTCGTGCTAAATCGGATTTCGTAAACAACTCAACAGCCTCCTCTACTTCCCTACACCGCCTCATGAAGCACCTAACTACAGCTACAAAACAACGCATACCCGAACTCGTCAGCCAAGCAACTCCTGCAACGACACCAGCACAAAAAGCCGCTGCCCTCAACGAATTCTTCATTTCACAGAGCAAGCTGTCCGTGGCCAATGCGGATGAGCAAACTCCAGCCATCAACACCACCCCTGACATCCTCAGTCCCCTTCAAGAAATCTCGACTTCCCAAGCTGAGGTCGAAAAACTCCTCCGAGGAGTTGATACCAACAAAAGCCCCGGGTTTGACTCTATTCCAAACCGCCTCCTCAAAGAAGCGGCTAAGGAACTTGCACCGTCGTTATCGTCCCTCTTTAATCTATCGTTCCAAACCGGAGAAATCCCACAGGAGTGGAAAGATGCCACCATTACTCCAGTACCCAAGCCGGGTGACCCAACCCAACCAACAAATTATAGACCCATCTCTCTCTTGAGCACTACATCAAAAATCCAAGAAAAAATTGCACATCAACTCCTCTACAAGCACATCACACCCCACCTGCCCAACCAGCAGTCCGGATTCCGCGAGAAAGACGGCACTGAGCAGCAGCTCGCCCGTCTCGTCCATACCCTCTCCACTGCGAGAGACGACGGGAAACACGTCAATGCCTGCTTTTCCGATCTAAGCAAGGCCTTCGATCGTGTGTGGCATGCAGGCCTTCTAGCAAAACTCTCCCACTATGGTGTCCAGGGCAACGCCCTGGAGTGGTTCCGACGGTACCTGTTGGGGCGTCGGCAAAGGGTCCAGGTGGATGGCGACCTATCGCCTTTCCTCGAGATCCCTGCCGGCGTCCCTCAGGGATCTGTTCTTGGGCCGCTTCTATTCCTCGTCTACACCATAGACCTTCCACATGCATGTGAGAATCCCGGCACCACCTGTAGCCAGTTTGCAGATGACACCGCTCTGATTTCCATAGCGAGAACTCTTCAAGACTGCACCCGAAACCTACAACAGAGTGTCACAGCAGCTGGAGACTGGCTTCAAAGATGGCACCTGCTGGTTAACACAAAGAAAACAGTCATCCTCCCGTTCTACCACAATAACCGCCCCCCTGAACAGCTACCCCAGATCACCCTCAGGAATAGTCCGCTTACCGTAGCACAAAAACACAAACACCTCGGAATAATCTTTCAGCATGACCTCCGTTGGACGGAGCATGTTGAATACATAGTCAAAAAATCACTCAAGTCTTTCAATATTCTTTTTAGACTAAGGTCTACACTCACCAGTGATTCTTTATCTCACATCTATCAGACATACATACTACCTATATTCTCATATGCGAGCACTGCTCTCACACCGTTGTCCCACACTTCCCTTGACAGGCTAGAACGACTCCAGCGGAAAGCCGCCAGAATATGTCTCCACCTTCCCCTTTACACACACTTAGAACACTCCCACCTTTTGCATCGCATCAAATGGCCAACATTATTTTCACGTTTTAAAGTTAAACATATACTCTTCGCGCATTCTCTGCGCCACAATTATGCCCCACCACATATACTCTCGCTGCATACTGCTAGCAACGTGCAACCTTCGTATAATTTACGTCGCTCTCGTACTTGGCACTTGCCAACTCCGCGGACTGACCGCTGTCTCCATTCTCCCCTGTACAAGGCCCTTCATTACTTTAATTGCCTGCCCACCCAGCTTCGCGAAAACCCTTCTCGTACTCCCTTCAAATCCGAGATATCCCTGCTGTTGCACAACTCTGTATGCTCGTGTAGCGACCACCCCTGCCCGTACACTTAAGTACGCAACTCTGTATGCTCGTGTGGCGACCACCCCTGCCCGTACACTTAAGTAGTCATTAACCCCTAGGCCCTGCCCACCCAATTCTTCCTCACTCTTTCTCCTTTCTTACACTATTATCTCTTATTGGCCACTGGCTATCGTGAGAATAAAGATTTGAAACAACAACAACAACAACAACAACAACAACAACAACAACAACAACAACAACAACAACAACAACAACAACAACAACAACAACAACAACAACAACAACAACAACAACAACAACAACAACAACAACAACAACAACAACAACAACAACAACAACAACAACAACAACAACAACAACAACAACAACAACAACAACAACAACAACAACAACAACAACAACAACAACAACAACAACAACAACAACAACAACAACAACAACAACAACAACAACAACAACAACAACAACAACAACAACAACAACAACAACAACAACAACAACAACAACAACAACAACAACAACAACAACAACAACAACAACAACAACAACAACAACAACAACAACAACAACAACAACAACAACAACAACAACAACAACAACAACAACAACAACAACAACAACAACAACAACAACAACAACAACAACAACAACAACAACGTCAACATAAGGGACAACAGCTGAATACCAACATGTTCTAGTATCGCGTATTAACATAAGTCCCGGATCAATAGGTCGTCAAAGAATGACGCAAGATGTTTGTGAGGAATGGTCACTTCCTCTGCTATGCGCATCCCTGATTTGCTCGATCATTAGTGGCTCCCTCATGTTGCGAGCCATGACGTCAAGTGTAGACTCTGTCAGCTCCACTTCTGTCTCGCTGTTCCGGGAATTCTGCCTTCTGCGCCACCATACTGCTAACGACAGGTCCTTGAGCAGACCATAACCACCGTGCCTGGAACAGCATTGTTTGGCTAAGCATGCCACGAGCAGGAGAGCATTCATGGAACCCAGTAAGGTCAATGCCGCGGTGTGCATTGCACGGTGCCGGCCTTCGTCCTCGTCGAAAGCGTGTGACTCGAGGCTTGCAATAAGCGAAAGGCCGAAGAGAAACATGCTCTCCCAAGTGTTGGCCGATACTCCGGCGAGGTTGTGGCTCCGAAAGGGCCTGGATCACCAAACATAGAACACACAATAGGATTTCCGTTGTTTGAAAGTTGAAACATCCAATAAGAAAAACTGAACTTGCACACCGTACATTCCCTTGCCTCGATATGGAGAGCCTCTTTTCCGACAAAATAAGCATTATGGATATAAATTGAAACTAAAATTGGTACAAATATGCAATCCCAGTAAGACAATAATGAAAAATACTGAACGCGAAAGCCATGGTAATCTGTGATTGCAACTAAGCTGAGAGTATCAGTATGTTACTGGTACCGTTTTAACCCTTTTACGGTCTCACATTTGAAAATCGATCACCGGTGATCGATTTTTCAAACTATCGTAACTCAGTCAATTTTTGAGCAAATTCGAACATCTAAATATCTGGGTTAAAGAGAAAGCTCCAGGCTATCCGTAGGAACAATCGCCGAAGCGATAGAGTGAACGGCTGCGATGCTACGAAGCTCGCGATCTGCGTCACGGCTCATTTACGATTTGAGTGGGCGAGCTGGGTCTTGAGGACGGGTTTTTCCCTTTGCAGCTACCTGTCGCCATAGAGACACGGATTCAAATGAGAGTATGGACTCGCAGCACTCCTCACAAAAAATATGAGCTCGATGTGAGCAAGGAGAGGGAAATGGCTGTTGAATCTTGTTTCTCGTCGTGAATCAAGCACTGGGGCGATGTCGCTGCGCTGCAGCGCTGGATCCACGGCACGCTTGGTGTCGAATTGTAGCTCGGCGTGTTGCTCTTGTCCAGAGCTTTCCAGAGAGCCCAAGATCACGAAAATAAGCGAAGGGAAACTGAAGTTATGGATGAATCAAGGTACGAAATTGTTGAATTCTGTAAATAGCCTCATTTCGACTGGATTCTGAGACCGTGAAAGGGTTAAACTGCAGTCGTAGCGGTGTGTGGATAGTGCCACCCCATTCTAAAGGACGATCCCAAAATACGGCACGAGAAGGGCTAGGGGTGACCTGACCCTTACCGGCATTGGGTGTGAAATGCGCAATAGCACCAGAAAAATGCGGTGAGAGCCATTATTCGACTTTTCTCGCTTCCAGTCATCATCACGCTGATGATTGCTACTGCCACTCTTCTCAGTAAGTTCACAGAGGCCCACCAGCGGCGATCATCCTTGTAGAGACTGCTGGCCTCGTCAATGAATCCCTTCAGGTGGATGCTGCGTTGGCACTGCGGAATGGCGAGGATTAGTGGCGTTGGAATTATGACCAAGAGGATAATCAGCCCTGCAAGGATGGTGTGCAGCATGTGTTTGCCATTGTAACACTTGATGGCGCCATCCACTGCCAGAACTTGTCCTGTGTGGCTCATGCGTGTGCACCACAGGGTATTTATGCTGGTGAAGACCAGCACGAAATAGCTGTACACCAGCACGAACCACATGACGCGTACGAGCACCATGTGACTTTGCAGGCGTTGAATGTACTTTCCGGTTACGTTGTATGACCTCAGCACCCTCACCATCATGAAGAGGAAGAGTAGCATCATTGGTTGCAACAGAAGGAGTTGGCCGCTGTCCAATCTGTCCAGGGGCTCTACGAAGCAAAGATTGCCCAGGCCAAATGTCAGTATTGAGTGAATCGCGGCATGAATTGGTGATTTGTCTTTGGGGAACACGTACCAGCAGGCCTGGGTACATAGGAAAGACGAAAGGAGAACGGCATGAAAACTTAAAAGGACACGATGCTTGATTATCTTCATCAGGATAATATAAAGGCAGAAATAAGAGTAACTACTTGAAGTACAAGTATTGATCTTGACTGAAGAGCGGACGGTATCAGTTTCCAAACGTTCTTGGAACTTCCAACAGTGTTCGGATCCACGGTTTGTTGTTCGCCACCCTCCCTGTCTCCGCATAACTATTTAGAAACATTCGCCTAGCTGTTAGGAATTGTTCACGCACATCTCACGGTTTGGAATAGCGGTTACACAGTCTACGCCCACCTCTACGCCCACCCACGATGCATTAGCTCTACCCCCGGCTTCAATATCTTTCTAACTGAAGTGTCCAATCGTTTCCTAGACACTTTGGTCTAATCTGCAATCTCACATCAATTTTTGCACTGACATCGATGAGTTTACAAACCATGCAATTCTCCCTCATTGGTATACAGCAAAACCTGTCAAGGCGACCACTCAGATAAGGTGACCACCTGCCCTAGAAGACCACTGAAACCAGGACCAAAGGATGCTACAGTAAAACCTGTAACTAACGACCACCCCTTGGTGCCCGGAAAAGTGGTCTTTAGTGGCAGGTGGTCTTTAGTTAGAGGTTCGTATCGCGTGACTATATATGGATCCCATTATATGATAATGTACATGTATGTCAAAATGCAGATAATACAATCCCCCACCACTTGCGCACTGACATTCTTCTTTCAGATCACACAACACTTGGAGAGAGAGAAAATCAAGTTTTATTGCAGACATTAAATTCAGCTCCTACTTCTGAAGCCAGGAGTCAATAGTTCCCTGTTGAAGCTTCTCTTTGCGCTGGGCTTCAAGTTTGTTCATGAAGGCACCAAGTTTCTCTACATCCATTGCCATGGTAGACAAGCCACGCTGCAACGTAAACTGTTGCAATGTTGAGATGCAGGACAGTGCTTCTTTGCCGGATACTTCTCTGACTTCTGTGGACTCAGTGTGACCTGGTGACTGAGCTGTGTGATTGCACTTCGACAGAGAACCGCTCAGTCTTAGTTTCTCCTTCGAGTAGTCACATCGATCGATCAAAGAGCGCTGTGGAGCGCTCTCCAAGACGTTTCCTATCATGTTTGTTCTTGACAGCACTTAAAATTATGACAGATGTAGTGCAGTCCACACTGATTCCACAGTCAAAATGAGACTGCGTTCATTTGTCCAGCTGTAGTATCGAAACAGTCCTTTCAGGACCATGGAAAATCATCAACATTTCGAGAAGGAGCTTCGAGCAATGTTTGATTTCCTACATCGCGGTCGCTAGTTACGGGTCAAAATCTGACATTGGGACAAGAAAAGGCGGTCGCTGGTCGCGTTCAGCAGGTAGTCGCTAGTCACAGTGCATTTTGAATGTGAGACCATCCGTGTCTGACGAAGTGGTCGGTAGTACCAGGCCGGTCGCTAGTCACGGTGGTCGTTAGTTACAGGTTTTACTGTACTTCCATTGAATTGACCCTGGATAAGAAGACCACCTGGTAACAGAGACCACATTTTGAAGGTCCATTGAGTGGTCGTCTTAGAGAGGCTTCACTGTAGTCATGCGCTAGTGGACCAAGCTCGATGGATAAGTGAAACGGTTTCCAAGATTTCAAAAAAAAAACGCCCTGCACAATTCAATTCAGCTGGACAATGTGGACCACTGTAGTGGAAAAGTGTCGTTGTATCCAATGAGGGTTTGCTTTTGTCTCTTTTTAAAGCGCACTTCTCACGCCGAATGCTACTTTTACATGTATGTCCAACACAAGATTCATTTTCAGCCTCTAGATCTAAAAAAGGGGGCTTATGTCGTTTTGCGCAGTATGTAGAAAAATGCATTTGAAATTTGAGTTTTCCTCATAAAGCGATGTATAATTTACTTATTGATAACTCAAATGCCCCCTTTTGGGATCTAGAGGTTCATTTAACGTTCGTTTCCATCCGGCTGTCATAGGTGTAGTAATGGTTGAGAATATTAAACATCCTCTGCTTGGATAAAGATTAAAGAATACATCAGAGCCTCGCTAGTATAAAGCTCATAATTACGGCTTCAGAATTGATTGCAAGAGTCAATTATTTCTTACGACTTTTCTTTTTCTTATCCTTGACCGTGGGCAACAGCGCGCAAAAAGTAAAACACGAGAGCACTTAGAACATGAACTGCTGCACCATACCTGAATAAGGAACAGCCAGCTATCCAGTACTGGGGAAAGACCGAAGTTGAATCGTAACATTAGGAGGAAGCTAGCTACTGTCAAAACAATCGTTGTGACCACGTACCAGTGTAAGGGTATTCGACGAGAGGAGAGCGAGCAATGTTGGCATTTCTGGAAGGAGAGTTAGATAATAAACAAGAAGACATGAATGGGAGAAAAGAATACCATACCATGTCATCTAACGCATACTTGTCTCGGGAGAATGAAGTTAAAGACGGCAGTGCAGCTCTGCCTATTGGCAATGCAGCTGTACGTATGGTGGATTCAAATGGTGGCAAATACACACCTTGTGTCTGCTTTGTGCCATTTTGTCGCACTCGCTGACTGTAAAGGATCTGGTTGTGTTGTTGGACAGTTGGTTATAACTCGTTCATGTTTACCTTCTTCTGTTTATACATAGGTTATGCCCCGCAGTTTTCCATATTTTCCATATCGTACATGAAGGTACTGTTTCCTTCAATAACTTTAGCAGCATCAAAACCTCTCCGCTTCAAAAATACTTCCTCCGCGTCATTAAAATTGTCGCTTCCCAGAGCGATTTTTCGAATTTATTATGTCCACTCGAGGGGCAAAGATATCAGCTAGAAATTGAGGCAGAGTATTGTCGACGGACCAAGCTTTAGTTTGTGGCCTCCCGCTTCGCTGCACTTGCAGGTAAGGTCGACGTATTCATCAAAGTTTGAGGCAGACCCTTCAGCACTCAAAAATACGAAGAAGAAGACGCGGGTTCAAATTCAGGTCAAGAAACCTCGTTTTCAAGCGATCCATGCCTCCAGGTGGCAGGGGATGAAGGCAAGCTAGCATTTTTCAAGTACACTGTAACGACCTTCCAGCGGGGTAGGGTAAGCAGTTCCGCACCTTCTTTCCTTGGCAAGCGCTTCGCTGATTTTGTCGGTGTTTTGAGACCTGCTACCTTCGCAGCAACATGCGCCACAAGTAGCGCATTTTAGGAATTTGAGACCACTTTGCTCTTGCCATCGTCAACTTCAGCATTTCGTATTCAAGAGAGATACCAGGATTCTTATACCCGGGCTTGCAGTCTTGATAAATGCCCACTCGAACGATGTGGGACGGCACGAACTCCAGAAAACGGAATGTGCTCTGGGGCGGAATAGTGCGGAGCGCGATGAATTTGCTTGGTGCGGAATAGAGCTCCGACAAAGTCCGAGACCACCACGGCTTCAGTAACAAGTAAGCATTTCGCAGGAAGGGTCGCACCAGTGTTCTAACACAGAAAACAGCGATTCCGACTGTCTGACGAAGACGAGCCAAGTCACAATTATTGCGATGTGCGAAGCGACAATTTTAATGATGCGGAGGAAGTAATAGTTTGAAATCCCGCTATTTCCCCACAGATTATAATTAAGAAATCATCTCACTCCCTGAGGGAATCGTACCAAATCCTACCATTCGACTTGTGGCAAGCAAGGGGATAGAAATGGGAGCGAAATGAAATCATTATTTTCTATCTATTTACCTGAGTGGCGAGTGTCTGCCAGTATCCCAGCAAGCAACGACCGCACAGTGAACCAGACGAATATCCTGGACAGGATTGAACTTCACCATACTTCCAGTCGCGATTAAAGCACAGCCCGTTCTTGCATTGCGCTATCTCGAACGGGTAGTCGACGTACCTCGTAAACGTGTTCGAGCCCTCAAAAGGAAGCGACTCGTTCATCTCCCAGGTCACCAAATCTGAAAGACTGCCCTCTCCCTGCAAATCTGGGTTGTTGAATGGGTTGCCAGCCCAATAGCCAGAGCGGATGTTCAAATGGCGGCCTTTTGTGCAGTTGCGGATACCGGGCAATTGTAATTTCCTGCATTCGCATGTCCAGAACGTCTTTTTGCCTAAGATTGTTAGGGATTCCTGAGCGAAAGACAAATAATCAATAAAGAGGGGAAAGGGACATATGGATATGAGTTAAGAGTGACTGTCTACAACTGTAACTAGATATTATAAACAGTCAGAAAGTGCTACAACTAGGCACAAAACTGACAGAGCACTGAGACATTCGACGACCTGCCACCTAGCTCGAATAATTATATCTTCACCTGTTTCTTCCCTTTCTACATTTCATTAGTATTGGCTCAACATCCGAGTTTCTCGAATCAATAGTTCAGAGTAGCATAGCGGACAAATATAAATGGAATATTTCCAGCCTAAGGATTGCGTTACACTAGAAGAGGATATATTTGTCACAAATAACCAAATTTCCAGAACGAAAGCCTTCGATGATCTATTGTACTACTCGGTAATATGGAACGTAGTCGAGTACTTGATTGCACTGTAAGTTACATCGTACAAGTACATGTATATGGGTCACCTTTCCAGAACTAAGCATCCGTCTGTCGAGGTCACCTGTCATTTCTTATGAGACCACGTTCCCTGACCTAATACTAATAGACCAGTAAATTATGTAAGGACACACAGAACATGTCAACTACATCATGTAGTTTTGGATCTGTGTTGAAAGACCACCTTTCGTTTGAGACTGGTTCTTTCGGCACAGTAAAACATTTAGTATCTTTTATAAACATACACATTCTGCATGCATAGGAGCAGGTGCTTTATGAAGATCACGAGAGACAATGTATACTTGTTGATTCCTTGACACACCTACAGCACAAAAACATCTACCTTCTTGACAGGGCCATGGAAACCCTTATGGCATGGACGAATCTTGAACGGTATCTCCAGCTCGAAACTTGTCTGCGAAAACTCAACTCTGGCGCTATTTCTGCCTTTAATGCTGAGCAACAGCCAACCTACGTCACCGGGTTGCCCGCCTAAAGCAATTCCAGTGAGGCCGTCTCCTGATAGAAACTCAACGCTGTCCACAGGCTCGTAACCAAGGGATGATGCATCGCCATCGTATCGCAAGAGAGTAACCGAAGCTTGCCTTGGGAAATCCTCAAATTTATAAATATGCCGCCCATATCCTTCCGCCACCTGTGTCAGGGAAAAGAAGAATAGATGCAACGGTTGAATTATTATCTTATGTGCAAGAGTGAGAGAAAATGATTGTGTTCAATGGCGTGTGCATGCGTGGGTTTAGCACTTCTAAGTCCCCAGCTCTACAATGTATTTATTCACACTGGAACTGCTGCTGCTATTCAGTTTTGGAGCCATCAGTTGCCTGATGATCGTAGCACTGTGACACTCAGAGTTGCGACACAGCTTCCATTCTCTCTGTTGTGTACAAGGCTCTGCCCGATATGGGTATTGAGCACACTTCGGACAGAGCACACTTCGGACAGTGGAGCACGCTACGTGATCACGTAATTACGTAGTACATTGAATAACAACATGAAGGGAAGTTGGATACCAGGTCGTAAGATGTTCACCGATCGAATTTAAGAACCTGCAATCGGATAATTAACTTTTATGTTTCAAAGGATGAGGACCAGCTAGCATTCTCTCAGCATTATTTTGTGCTCAACGTCGCCAGCTGGTCCCTAAACAGTGTTTAAAAATCATCATGGGTGTGCATCCATTTTCGCTGACAATACCCTGGCTAACCACATAGGGATAACAGGTTGATCCCCACTGAAGATATCCATTTTACCTTGTTAGCCCTCCTCTAGAAGCAGGGTGTATGGACTCAAACAAGATGTTGGATTCTCACTCTGATATACTGTGAACGCATTTTCCAACACCACATTGATTCAGCTAACGAGGTTTTGCCGCTGTGTTGGAAACTGTTAGTGAGAGTTACCACCTCACTCCCGTCTCAAGGCGATTCATCTCGCACCCTGATATCTCAGACATGGTGGTGGCCTGGCACAAGCGAAAACTCTAACCAGCATATTGTGTTTCTACACAAAATTGAATAGACAGTTGTAAGGCGAACGTGCGCACTGTACTATACACTACTGTGCGAAACTGTCACCAGGACATTCGTGTACTTACTCCTAGTACTTTGAAGTAATATGTGAACACGCAGCATGTTAGATTGGCCGAACACTCGAACATAGTGTGTTACATACAGTAAACGCCCGATTAGTGCCCCTGGCGCACTATTTTTTCAAAGTCTATCATAGATGGGGCACTATTCAAGAGAGGATATTATTCAAGAGAGGGCGCTATTTTTCAATGCTGGTACATTTACATGAAAAAATTTGATATTTTTTTACTATTGAACACTCACTGCATGATGAACTAAAATGAGGAGGAGAACTCGACACAAAGGTACATATCCAACAGGACGGAGTGGGTGGGACCTGTGAAGCTCAGCCTACCAAGGGTCTAGGCATCACAGCTGCACAGGTGCACCATACATGTACGTGATCCAGCATAAAAAGAAGGCAAAGAAAAACAGAGCCTAAAGTGTACTGTAAACTATCATGACTCAACCGAAAGGGCAACAAGAACTGAGATTTTGATCCTGAAATCACCAGTGCAATGACATGTACAAGAACATTACTAAAGGAACACCAAACCTGCACATGCGCTTGGTTACAAGCCCGGGATGGAGGGGGGGGGGGGGAGCACTATTCTAGAGAGGGCTTTATGTTTTCACTGGTTCTTAGAGGCGGGGCGCACTATTGAAGAGAGGGCTCTGCTCGCACGAGTGAGGTAACTGGCAAGGAGAATTGAAAACGAAGAACTGCGTTTGTGGACACATTAATCATGACGGCATGCACCAACAGGACACACTTACCCTCACGGACATGCTGCTAGACAGCGGATTCATGAAACTGTCATATGTGTCCAAGTGAATTGATATCATCTCTCCAGCAGCTGGGTACAAGACCAATGAACCCAGGTAGTCTGAGTAATTAGTGTGCCATCGCCGTTTAGGCCCCACTCGCCATTCACCACTTTTCCAATCCTGCCCGGCTGCATGAACCCAAGGAAGGCTCCAACTGTCCTGCCCAATGAACGTATTCGTCAATGAGTGTCGGTGGCGCATTAGTTGATCCCGAAGAGCTATCAGAGCCTCGTCTTTGGCTTCACGACCTTGTCTGCATTGTGGAAATGTTCATGACAAAGGGATTGAGAGAGAATACTATCGCACTTTAACATGGTGTACGGTCAATATAGAAACGTGGAGCAAGCAATCTAGTATGCCCAATTTCGGATGGCACTATGGATTTGCCTCCCATTCGTTCCTTGCCCCGATAAATCAAATAAGAGAGGGAGAAGGAGAGAGAGAGAGATAGAGAGAGAGAGACATATTGAGAAAGAGGGAGAAAAAGAGAGATATTGAGGGAGACAGACCGAGAGACAGAGCGGCTTACAGAGAGGCAGACACAGATAGGCAGGGAATGGGAAAGAGAGAGATAGAGATTGGGTGAGAGAAAAAAACGTTTGTGTGTGTGCGTGAGTGCGCATGTGTGGTGTGTGGGTGTGTGGGTGTGGAGGGGGGGGGGGGGTGTTGATTGTGATTAACCGAGAGGACACGTTGTGGAGGAGACCTACCTGATATGTTTCGAAGCCTCAGAAATAACGGTTCCGCTGCACTGCTTCCTAGAATAGAGCCATGCTGCTCCCCGTTGCTTGATGCATTCGGTGCTGGAGTGACGGAACAAAATCCAGGTAGGCTTGCCTTTAACCAGAGTTTCAAATTCCCCAAACCTCTTGATTATCAGTGCAGTGAAATTGGAGCCTGTGCAGATTACACTGTGATTGGCGCTGTGAACAGGAGTGCCTGAGCACGAAGCAGCTGAATACATGCCATAGGCATTACACTCAGTTGAAGTATTATACGCTGACGTTGCATGACGTGGCCTGTCACATATGAACCTCAGTGGCTTTTCAACTTGAATGGAGCACGGTAGGACTGGATTCTTGGGTCGGTAGCTGAACTCCTCGGACTGGGGAGAGAGGAATAACAGAGTGCACAGCCATTGCTAAGTGATGTGACATGAATAGTCCTTACTTCTATTATTCTATTTCCATCTGGACGTCTACTCCTATCTATTGTATTGTTGGCCATAATGAGCGTGACATAAAGCGTGGCCCGTGGTGGATAATTTTGCTAGAAATAAGGCAGAATTGGCATGCTTCTGGCTTTTCGGGTTTGTTCCATGCATGTCTTGTGTGTGAATGAAGATCAGGAGCGGAAGCTGCACGGATTTGCCGAACGCGTCTGCCAATTTCAATGCTTTTCTGGCGGAATTTGCCTTCTTCCGCGCATTTTTTGCTTAGGTCTAATATACATGACATGTATAGACCATGGCGGAAAATGTAGATCATTTTATAAGGTTTCTAACGCTTAGTGTCAACTGCAAGATTTTGGGGAGATTATCCCCATATTTTATCTCTGTCCGAGCATGTTACATTCTTCTTCATTTGTTGCCGATACGGTTCTTCTTTCATGGTGCATCTCATTACCGGTGAGTTATCGAAGTGAAATTAAAACATTAAATTTAAAATGAAAGGACCGAAATTGTACATGTTATAGGAAGTTTGTGTCCAACACTAACACTTACTTCGAAGTATAAGCAAGATGTTGTGTAGTCAGAAGGTGCAACAGCTAGCATAGTACTGACTGATGTGATACTGACATTTAACGACCTGATGATAGGCTCTATCACGTCTTGAAAGCGCAAACCCACAGCCTTCCAACTTGGAAGGTTCTAAGTTATGGAAACAATAACATGCGAAAGGGGAGGTGAGCGCACTGAAGACGTGCTAGCTATTGGACCTTCTGACTACGCAACCTCTTGCTTATACCTGTTTAAAATGTTTTTGTTTTATTTTATGAAACTGCACTTATGCCTACATAGAATAGAAGAGAAAAACAACAACAACATCAAGAGAACATAGACTACAAAGGGCGTGTAGGTGCTATTGAGCTGTGCGGTGAGGTGAAGTGCGCTCCCCCGACCAATGGTCTTGGGATCAAGGCGCACATCACGTACCATGCGGGAAAGGGAGAGAAGAAAGACTGTTGGACACAAACAACGGGTAACATGTAACATTTTGGACCATTTTTTCAAATTTAGTCTTTAGCCCTCCATCCAAGTCTTACTATACCATTTTAAATCATAACGTTAACATGGTGATGGTCATGTTGATGAATTCCAGCAGACGCTATGTTTTCATTGTGGAAGCTTCAGCGAAAAGACTAACAAGAGCAGAGAACTCGTATGGAGAGCCAAAGAGTAAATTTCAAAAAAAAAAGAGGACCCTTAGTTAACAAGTTATCCGTTTTGTCCAACACTAGCGACTATACACAGGATATTGTTGAGTCGAAATGTGCAACAATTAGCACAAAACTGGATGATAAGATCCTGCCATTCAACGACCTAATGCTTAGCTGCATCACGTCTGGAATGCGCAAACCACAGCCTTCCAACTTGGAAGGTTCTAAGTTATGAAGTAAAGTAAGAAAGGGGATAACCTATAAACGTGTGGTCCTCTCCGTTTTAAGAGTAGGGAATATCATTGTAAAAATGATAACGGTCGTTTACTTACTTCAGTGGATAGTGCCTTTGAGGAACACAATCCATAATCTTGATAAACATCCGCAACAGTGGCACCGACATTCACGTCAATTAACAAATGCTCACCCCAACGAACGGACCATTGTTTAGGGGCATTTCCCCAGATGAAGCTTTCTTCCAGGACCATGTACCGTAAGTTGGTGATCTACAGTAGTCAGAGATTCAAAAACAGGGAAAGACGCCAATAGGCAGAAACACGAAATGCGAAGTGTGTCTTTGCACATGTATGTGCATTTGGTTCGCATACACATGACATGTTGTATAATAATGATTATTATCACTCTCTTATTATTGACCCCCACCGAAACTTGTGATCTCTAAGCGGTCAAATATCAGCATAATTATATTGACCGCTTATATTGACTACTTATTATTGACCACTTAGCCCGAGGACTTAGAACTTTTTCCTCAACTTAGAAAAAAATCAGAACTGAAAGAAGAAAAATCTGAAGCCAAATGCTGGGATTTATTTTATTTATTTATTTCACTCAACTCGTGGATCATGACCAATTGGCACGCAAAGTGCGAGAGAGGGGTGATAGCCAACCACGGCAAGAAAAGAAAAGAAAGGAATATAGAAAAAGAGAAGAAAGAAGGATAGACAAGAATCCAGCAATGAGATCCTATCGTACTACATTATGCGATCGGAGTGCATTTTTAAAGCTGGAAAGACATTTTGATGTCTTAACATGCTGGGGAAGTTGCAGCCAAAGGCTGTAGGACAAGAACAGAGGAGAGATGGTAAATGCGGCTGAATTGGCACGGGGAAGTGAGAGACTATTACGAGTGGACCGGGACAGAGAAAACCAATTGAATACGGAGAGATGAATGGGAATTTTAACTAGGCAAATTCTGTGGATCAAAACGCAAAGCTGCTGTTTGCGATTATCTTGCAGTGGCTGAGTATTGCTGATACAATAGAGCTCAAGACTAGGAAATAAACGCTGCTTGTTAAACAATATTTTAAGAAGAGATTTATGTTGGATTTCAAGTTTGTTCACAAGATGTTGACTTAGACTACACCAAGACTGACATGCATACTGGAAAATAGGTAACAGATACGAGCGATAAAACATAGAACGGCATGTATTTGGCAAATGAGAACGATGAGGATATAGTATGCCGAGAACACTACTAGTTTTCTTGCAAATATAGTCTACATGAGGAGCCCATGTTAGACAGTCGTCAATAATTATACCAAGGTGCTTATGTTCATGGACAATTTCTATGGTCGATGAGCTGCCAGGACATGATAAAGACACATTACAGAACTGATCACTAGCACCGCTACAGAAGAACATCACTTTGGTCTTACTAGTGTTCGGTCTCAGCTTCCAAGTCGCCATTCAAGAAATGGTGGAGTTTATCTTTTTCTGGAGGTCATTGACTAGCAATTGCTTGCAACTACTTGAAGCGGAAACTGTGGTGTCATCGGCGAACAGTGAAACATTAGGGACAGGCATCGGTAGATCATTGACGTAGACTAAAAAGAATAGTGGCCACAGGATTGACCCCTGTGGCACTGCCACACCAGAATTGATTGCCTGGGGAGACGAGAGGGTGTTGCCGACGCGTACAGCCTGTAACCTGTCAGTTAGGTAGCTTTCAAAGAAACAAAGCAGGTTGCCACCAATGCCATAGGCACCCAACTTGGCAATCAGGCCTCTATGCCAAACAGTGTCAAAGGCTTTCGCCAGGTCAAAGAAGCACATGCCAGTATGTTCTTTCAAATGTCGGGACTGCATGATGTTTTGGATTAGGTGGACTAGGTGCAGAGCTGTGGAGTCCCCTCGCCGGAAACCAGACAGCATGGTATGCAAGTACGGAGACAAGTGTCGATATAGCTGATCGTACACAATGCGCTCAAACAGCTTTGAAATACAGCACAGTAGGGAGATGGGTCTGTAGTTCGTTGCATCCGACCGGCAGCCTTTGCGTTTATCAATTGGGACCACTAATGCGTATTTCCATGCGGAGGGAAAGATTCCAGACGACAGAGAGATGTTAAAGAGCAGCGATAAGGGATATGCTAGGCTGTCTTGGAGGTGTTTCAGGATTTCGTTTGGTATACCATCGTAACCAGGAGACTTCTTATTGGGGAGACTGCGTATGTATCTGGTTACAGTACGGGATGAAATCATCAGCGATGTAAACGTTGACTCTACAGGTATTTGGTGGATAGGAGGAACTAACCATTCAGGTCTATCCTTAACGCAGAAGCTGGTAAACTGCTCATTCAGAGCATCCGCAATATCAAGAGGCGCAGTGGCGAAACTTTGGTCAGACCGTGTGATTGCTGTTGGACTAGAGCCCAATGACGATGCTGATTTAGGAAGAGTTCTTACTTGGTCCGCCCAGCTAAAATTGGCGCTTATCTTCACACTTGTCTCAGGAAAGAAATACTAATATTTGAAGCAAGCTACGATCACAAAGCACTATATACATGATTATTTACATGTCAGTAAGCAACTCAGTCGAAAATTCAAGCAAGTTACACATCCTCTTCGCCACTATCGTCGCTGGAGGAAGAGCTCAAAACGTACGATCCGGACAGCTGCTGCACAGGTCGTTTCATAGCTTGTTCCACTTCTCCTCGTCTCGAATCACGCTCAAAGGCAGTGCGTGCCTGTCACCTCAGAAGCTGAGTGAGACTGCCCGCATGTTGACTGTAAGTGTTATCCCCGTTCGTCGCAATAATGCGACTTTGTTTGAGACAAAAAGGCAACGCCATATCAGTGTCCTTTTTTCAAATCGCCTCTTGCGCTTGTCGGACTTGCTGATCAGCACGCGTACCCACGCGAGCCGCTGGTGCTTGTACATGCAGCGCAGTGATAGCTTCCGCTTGATGTAGCACCTTTGCGTACTGCACCTACAACGCCGTGCACCAGGCTTTTCGGCTAGTTTCCTGAAAGTCCTTTGCACGAGTGTTTCTCTCAGGACTTGGTGTTTCCTTTGATTAGCTCCTTTGCCCTGTCCTCTGTGAGCTTCAAAGTGTGTCTGCCGGATTGGTCTCACTTACTGGAGACATCGACATGAGCTGCAGTTTCTTCGTCAGCGATGTGCTGGTGATAGCCCTTCACTAGGCGCTGTACTGTGCAAGCACTGAAATTCAAGCTCGCGAAGCGCTTTTTCAGCTTTTCTATACCTCCCCGGAGTAAACAATCCTTGCCATCAGACAGCTGGAAGTAGACAGAAACTGTATTGTCCATCGCTCTGAAATGCGAACATCCGGACCTATTTTACGGACTCGAGCGGAGGTTGCAGTGTTTTCTTGCGCTGACGGAAGTGTTCGTCGGCGGCAGCTCCGTCAAAAAGACTCAAACGGACTGATCGCAACTTCTGTGATGGTTTGTGCTGCCATGTCGTCGGATGCAATGGTCAATGGTCATGTTCGGATGGTGAATCGGTGGTTCCATGCCGTATGGGACAGGCAGAACACCAAAAAAACCAAGTGAGAAGATAAGCGCCAATTTTAACTGGGCGGACCAAGTATAAATGAGTGAAGTGATGGACGCGGGCTGTCGGTGAGAGAAGTAGTAATGGACAGGATGTATTCTTTATGGGCTACACGTGATAACGTTTTTGCTATATTCTGCTGACGTTTGTACTGCGTTGCATTGGACGGAGTAGGGTATTTTTATAGATGCTGTAGAGGTCATGCTTTGTCTTAATGCCTGCCCTGAGCACTGGTGTCATCCATGGTGGATCCTGGCGTGAAGGGCGGCTTCGGTTTCTGGTGGTTGACTGGTGATCGCGGTGAGAAGAGCAGACTGAGAGATACGATTCGAGGACAGACGAGAAGTTAGAAACGGCTGTATCAATATCAAGGCCGCATAAAAGGTCACTCCAGTGAGTTGCGGCAATTTCAGCATTTACGCCTTCCCATTGCGATTGAGTGAGCAAGTGATGGCTGAAGCGAGGCGGTGCAGTGTCAGATGTGGACTCTCGAGACTGTGCTATGTCTTTAGCTATGGAAAGCCTGCCGAGGACGATTAAGTGATCGGAGGCACCCAGGGGGCTCAGGGATTCAATGGATGTGAACCTCTCGGGAATGTTTGTGGCGACCAGGTCCAGGCAGCCACGGGGCCCATTGGATGTAAGATGGGTGGGGAACGCAACAAGTTGAGACAGTTCTATGGAGCGAAAAAGGTTACACAAGGCAGAGCCTGCAGCAGATGTTGAGTCGGAGGCACACCAGCTCTGGCAATGGGCATTAAAATCACCAGTTACAATGGTAGATGATGGAGCAGGTAGCTTAATGAGAGCAGTCCGCAGAGTGTCTACAAAATATTGTAGGCCAGCAGCGTGCTGGTTAGGGGGTCTATACAAGCAGGCAAACGACAGTGGTTGGGGTGAACCTATGGGAGTAGCTTCAACAGCAATTGCTTCAAAGTTCTGTTGGCGAAATGAGTGAATCTTACTCACTTTGCTGAAGGTGGTAGTGAGCACCAGGATGGCAACACCCCCATCGCCTCTGAAGGGGTCAGGGTTAGAGGGAGTTTGCGGTCGGTCATGCCGGAATACTGCATAGTTCGGCAAGTGTAAGGTATGGTTGGTGGTAAGCCAAGTTTCGGTGATGCAGATAATGTCAGGCTTCTTGGCATTACAAAGGATGGAGAGTTCCCCGAGTTTGTTGTTTATTGAGCGTGCATTTATCACCGCAACAGACACGTGGGAAGAAGATTGAGTAGAATGGTTAGAGGAGCTGGAGATAGGATAGAAGGGCTGTGCAAAAACATTTAGTGTAGAGTCCAGGCTCGAGGAAACGGTTGAAGGAGTTGGAGGGTGTGGGGCTGAAGGGGAGAGCGTTGGGATTTAGGATGCATGTACTGCTCATTTACCTACACTGTCAGAGGAGAAGCGCCATTCCCGAACACGTACGGAGGCAGGCCAGAAATCATCACGGACCGTGGTGAAGTGCTCTTCAGGAATCACAACATGGGCATAGGCCAGTCCAAAATAGCGTGTTTCAGTCACGGAGCATTTGATGATGTGAACATCTTTGTTTGCGCACCACTTAGCTATTGCCTCAGCATGGCAGCTGCTGTCTATGTTGCTGACGTGGAGCGCTTTGCACCTTACACGGGAACCACCGCGTAGGAGACCCTGTGTTGACTTCTTTGTCTTGTGGAAGTATGATGTGACTGAACTGTGCGTGTACGGTGTGGGTGTTTGGTCAGCTGGACGTTGGAATGATGGCGGTGGAGTGCTACGGTGTGGCAGGCTCATCAGTTGGGCGCTGTAGAGCGGACGAGTGTTTGTGAGCGTCTGTTCAAACTGTACGGGTGCGTTGGGATTCAAATGCTGCTGCTGTGAACGTGGGGCTGGTGCTACGGTGGAATTCAAATGCTGTGGATCGGATGGGGAACTACTCGTACATGTAGGTTCATGGTGATCAAAAGGCATACCGGTAGGTTGGGTGGGCGGGATAGGTGCGTGGGTTTGTGATTTGAACCCAAACTGTCAGATTCTCAGTCAATGAACTTGGGGAACATAATACAAGAGACAACTGAAAACTTCGGGTTACACAGAAGTACTGTCCAATGTAAACGGCATATGTACATACTATTATACTATTACAATAGTATTCCTTTCTTCCTATAGTAAAGCAAAAACAGTTTAAGGTATGCTATGTCGTGATAAATAAAATTTGGCCCTCATAATCGGTACCGTCAATATATGAAATATATTGATCTCTTTAATCGTGCAATAATAGATACTTATTACAAATAGCGGAGTCCTCCGGATCGATAGAGTGCTCAATGCGGAAGCAGAGCAGTAACACACGAGTCACAGGAAAACCACGCGTCTTGATTGTCGTAACTTATAGATACTTATTATGTATGTTAGTGTGTGTATGCATAATTATGAGTTTGCGTGTTTGTCTATGAGTATGTGTGTGAATAGTACTGGACATGTCTGCCATGTATTTGTGAATGTGGAGTAGAACCAGCTGATCAGTGCTGGACAAAGTGATGCTTGTACATTGAGCTTCGTGCCACGCGTAGAAGAGTTCTGAGTTATTAATATAATTTGTATAATTCGAATTTGTGGAAATGAACACAAAGCCGTTACTCACTACAAGCGTACCTCAATTTGTGCATTTCAAGGATTTGCCACCAGAGCGAAGCACTGCAATCAAACCTGACTTGCAGACAGTCTGGATTCGTGGGTGGCGTTTTGTTTTATGGTGGATGGGCATCTACTGTGCAAGTTTCCAGAATTTCCTTAGCATTTCCACTGTTGCAACAGCCATGCTCTACCGAGGCTAAGGCTGCATTCACACACGGTACAAAACACCCATACAAGCATCATGTTCTTTGAAATGGGCATGGAAACATGCGCGAAAAGTGAAAAATCACATCAACGTTAAAAGCCATCCCGGAGCGGCTTTGAAGGCAGCTTTGAAAGCGGATTTCGGCTTTTAGTTTTCAGGCAAGTCGAAACGAGTGGTTTGGTGTGTCGAGTGCTCAGAGTTTTTGTGAGTTTTTGGACAGTCCGGTACCATGCCTCGAGTTGTCTTTTCTGCTGAGGTGGAGCTATGGCTGATAGAACTATGGGGAAAATACCAGCGAGAAAAGTGGAACTATGATGAAAAGAGCTGTTGCCGAGAAGAGGATTGCAGATGAGCTGAATCTGTGCGCAAAGCAGCTATCCGGAGGTGATCAGGAAATGATATACATGGCCGCTATCGTTCACAACTCCAGCACACTCAGATCAGATGAATACACCAGTTGTGGAGGCGTTCTACCGAGATCATACTAGCGGACCAAGAAATAGTATTTTGGAAATGCTGAGCCAAGTGCCGCACAGTACCGGTGCACTCAGCTCATGCAGAAATCAAAATTACAGTTCTTCGCCATGGGTCACGCGGGTCACTATTTACGTGTTTGGCATGCACTGCATTTGACTGTGTGAATGCACAGGCGTTGCAAGTGGCTTGTACGGTCATGTAAACGCGAAAGTTTGTACCGTGTGTGAATGCAGCCTTATGCGCCTACAGTCTTTTGCAAACTGTACTGGAAATACAGAAATCATCCTAAACCAGTGTATGGTTTTCTCGCCTATACGTAATCTCCTCTGGCTTGGGAATCACCGTGATTTTGCTCCTGGATTATTCTGCCTGTTACTTTGCAACCTTCCTCCTCCTTCCTATACCCCTATCCTTAACTCCATTATCACATTCGCTTCCATGTAATTGGGCTTGTAGCCCGTTTGCACTTGCGAATTCAAATAAAAATATACAAACATACATACATACATACATACATACATACTTGTACTTGTTGCGCACTGCCAAAACTGGTCACGTGGGTCTCCCCGGGAGAGGGGAGAGAGACTCAAAAGGAATCTTGGAAAGATGACTCAATTGCCTATTGAACCGCCCAACGGCCGACACCCCCTGAAATCCCCAAAACTCTGGGTGGACTTGAAAATGATCCCACTTATGGGCTCCCCACACCTCAGTAGGTGGGTGAGGACAAGGTGCAGAAAAAGGATTGACGGCATCAGGGTATCCGTCCTGGGATCCAACTGCGGTTACCCCTGCCCCCAGTGAAGGTAATACGTGCTAGTAGTGTGGGTGGCTAAATCAGAGTGGATCTGATATTAGCTTCACTAGCACCATTGATTACACAAGAGTTAATCTAGCCAGAAGCAGTCCATGGTTAACAGGTATGTATACTTCAAATAGAAAGTATATGAACCCTGGTACCAACAAAGGCGGCATGTACAACATTACACCTTCAAGTAGCCGAGCCCGTTGGCAACAGACCCAACACAATCAGGTTTAAGTGTACCCACCAACTGAACTAGCTGGCACCATACATACATACTGTCCCTTATCGGGAGATTCTCTTTGTAAATAAACCTGTCAAGATGCACATCAAATCAACGGCGGAAGACCTGTGTACGAAGCACCTTACCTGCGATATGTGAACTTCAGCTTGCTGCAGTATCCAGGGGTAGATTCCCGGGCATACAGCTATGTGCAAACCTTCTATGAAGATTTTGCTTTGAACAGCTTGGAAGTCTCCACCCACGCACTTTATCCTGGGGAAATTTGGAACAGAGGTACAACAATGCGATAATACTCAGAAAAGGACACAATTCAGGCTCTTTCATAACAGCTTAAAAAAGCGTTTGGTTTCACTTGTATACTTTCAAGCCTTATCCCCAGATGAAATACAGGCAAAATCCACTGAACAACGACAATGGATTTAGTACAGCCGAGAGGTGATAGAAATGGCGTAAGGAAGAGGAGATAAAATAACAGCGTCAAATGATTGACCTATACACATAGAAGAAGGGAATGGGGAAAAGCTGCAAGTGTGAGGAAGACTACCAAGCGTGAAGTGTAGTGCGCCAAAAAATAATAGAAAACAAAATAAATTTAATGGTGATAACTAGCGAGTTGAATCTTTTATCCATTTCGTTTTATGTGTGTGTGTGACACTCATTCTGCGTTGCTTTGCCTTGAGTTTCTTTGGATTAGACCTTTTTCAAATTTTCATTTTGATTCCATCGTCGAGTTTCGTCCCTTGTATCTTAGGTTTTCTTCCTTTTTCCATGTTCCATTGTTTGAATAAACCGGTTTTGAACCATAAAGCAGGACACATAGATACAGGAACGTTGTACATAATTACACAATATCATGTACACGTGCAGAGCACCACTCTATAATAGTAGTCCATTTTTTCTCTCACTCCCTTCATGATGACCCCCAGTGATTTTCCTTCCAGTTCAACCCTCTATGAATTTGTAGATTGTACTGTTGAAGCAACGAACTGAAATGCATCAAAAACAACACAAAACCCAAAAAATTCGTGGAGGAAAAATACTGCTGCGGAATATTTTAGAACTGAACATTTACAATACGAACTGAGGTGTTGTGACTTCGGTAGCACTTCAGGAAGAAGATGGCTGTTCCAATGAGTGGTTCTCTCTTGCAGGTTTTCAGAGTGGACTGCCGGGCATTATCCCTGTGTTCTCCAGATGGCAGTCGCGTCAGTCAAGCATGATTGTATCAGTCGACAGGACGCATGAGTTCTAACGTTCTGAGCAGCCAGCATTTTCAAAACTCTAATAATTATGTTACGTAAAACTTCGGTGTGGAGACAAGAAACCTGATATCGATGAAAGTAAAGTGAGCGGACTCACACCACGAAAACAATGGAACAATAATTTATGTCTTGAACATCCTTTAATATGATAATCATCAGAAATCGTCATCACTTTGAGTGTTTGCCAACAAAGGAAAGATATCTATGGTACCATAAAGTGCAGATTATTAGATCTAAAAACTAATCCAAGAAACACTAATATCCTGAAGCTAGCACTATTCTGGAGAAGTAACGTTTCTACGCGCTCTTCTTCGGTATAGTGAACCGTTCTCATCAAGTGGAGTGAACAAGGGAATGGGGCGAGGGATTAGAGCACATGGACGGCCAGTGTTGAGTCGTGACTGGCAGCTGTTAGGTTTGTTAGTCACCCGGATCTCAATCAACGCGGGAATAGAGCTGATGGGTGCGCATGGTCAAAGTTGCGCTGATTAGTTGGCGGCGGCTAGCCGAGCTCGACGACATCCACGGCCTCAATAACGGAACTGCCACCCCAACACCGGCAAAGCAATGGCTGCAGAATGTTGAAGTTTGCCTTGTTCGTCCTGCCAATGGACATGTGTCATGAAAGTAATGTCTTTTTCCTGAACTTTCGAACCTTTCTGCAAATGTTCTGTGCTTTTGAAAATGGTTTACCCATGTTGTTTAGTTCTCGACTACGCGGTACTCGGCTGTAGTTTATAAGTATAATTGTACTGTCCTGAATACTCGTGATATGTTGCTTTGCCACTATGTACCGTGAGCTGTTATGATTCCTGTATTCGTCTTTTTCCAGTTCTATTTGTTGAAGTAAATAGTTGACATTTTCGTGTGTGTTTTAGGACTGTCTTGTCATGTACATGCCTGTTCTGCAGTTGTACGTGTGTGTTCACTTCATTGGCTTCGCTTCTTCCTCATTTCTTTTGTTCATTTGGCTTATGCGAAGACTAGTTTGGATCACATTATGGTACCATAAAATTAATATCTTTCCTTCCGTTGTCCAACTCTCAGTGTTATGACGATTTCTGATGATTATCACATGACAACCACGCTCAAATCTTAAAAATTTAATATTGTTCCATTGTTCTCGTGGTATGAGTGCGCTCACTTTACTTTACTCGATGTATGTTTTGAAGTAAGTAAAAAGTGAAACTCTCCATCGCAGTTATGCACCAAGGCAGTGATTCTCACATGGTGACGAGAGAGGAAGCTCAAGCTATTTTCTGTAAACTGATAATGATGAATACTCGTATTCTACAGAGCTTCCTATCTCAATTGTTCATTATTATTAACTCTTATTTTACCAGGGTGTTTCCCACAGACCTATGGTCATCTTACGAGAGCCCTTAATTACATAAAGCCAAACATTACCACTACTTTCAGCCTTTTTTGCAATTTGGAGTGGTTTTTTTTTAAAGTGTTACATGGATGGAGCGATCGGGATTCACCGTCTTCGACCAAGCACTTCGTAGTGGGTCTGATCTACTCGCCTTCCACCGGAGCCGCATCGCAAACCATGAAAAATAATTCTGGGACCTGTTATTATCAAATCCCGATGGGATGCGCAAAGGCTGCGAATGCCTCTGAACAGCATATTTTGCATGCATTGGGCACGGATGGGTTGATAACTTGATACTCACCGAAAAAATGTGTTGTTGGACATGCGGGATTCCGTGTGCTCCAGGTTCATGAAGATCTCCTCAGACTCAGGACCATGAACGAATTCGACGGATCTGATGGAACTCTGGATGGGCGTAGAAGGTACACGGCCTCGGATATCCAAATCAAGCGCAGATTTGCACCCACGATGCAACCCTTCATTGAGAGTAAACTGCGATCGAACAACTGCGGTGTGGACCTTGAGCTCCTTACTCCAATGTGTGATTCTCAATGCTGGCGCATTACACCGTGAAGCTTTGTTGTCCGTGAAGATAGCTCCATCGATGCAGACTTTGCTGCAGTCAGAGATGAGGAGTGCAGCATTCGAGTAGTGGTTGTCCTTGAACAGTGTGTCGTGTACCACAACGGTGGTATTTGGATCCAAGCTCTGTATGGAAATCACCGCTTCTGAGACATTGAAACCTATGAACGATGTGTTATGTATCATAACAATGGCGTCTATGTGCATGAAGTACAGATCAATGGCCGAAACACCCAGCAGCAGTTCGTTCTGACCTTGGAAGATTGAGTTGAGAATAAGGACCTGGATCGATTGGGTCCCCAAGGCTGGAGCCTTGGTAGAAGTTACGAGATCGGGAATGGTTCCCTTCACATGAAAATGACATTGAGCCACAGTAAGTGTGATTTCTGCATGGTCTACTTCCACAGAAACTTTATCCACCACATGCAACAATGACATGCCTTCGACAGTGAATTCACAGTTCTGAAACATGACATCGACGAATGGATCTCCACAGAGGACTTCGATCAGCTTACTCCTTACTCCTAGACGCATTTTGGACTGGAATATGATATCTACACAGCGTACTGAATACCGACCAGAATCAGGCGTCTCCAAGTAGAGCAGAGTACTCCTTCCATTTAGATCTACCACAGATTTCGGGCATCCAAACGATGTGTCGGTTAGAAGTGTTAGATTCGGCAGAGAGCCGATTTGGAAGTTTGGAGTTCCGGCGTCCTCATATGGATCAATCCTACACCCAGATGACGGGTGAGCTATCAGCTTCAAAGCAACGGATTCCGATCCCGTATTACGTGCTTCGTTTATGGCCTGTTCGATTGTGGAACATGCGCGCTCAATGCTTCGCCCACATCCAGGATACTTACTGCCAAATCCCCCGGCCTCACCGTCGAACGTGTAGCGGCTCCCGTTGCTGCGGTAGGTGGCAACGAATATAATCGTATCGTAGACAACAGAGGGCGGCGATTGCTCAGTGAACTGCTCGGCTAGCCTTCCAGACTCACAGTCCCGTTGAAACGCGTACTGGTCACTGGTACTCACCGGAGCGCGGATACACTTGCCCGTGCTGGCAAGTATCAAAGCCAGAAAGGCAAGCCACACTCTCGGCCTGTCCATCTCACCTTGAAATGGACGGCAGGCTAAACTCTCATCCACGAGGGGATTAATACATTTGCGCGAACATTATAGGTTCTCACATTACAAGTAACAGTTAGTTTCTTGGAAACGATATGAAATGAATCATGGTGTTACTCGCTGCTACTTCAGAGCACACATACAGACCGGCGACAGTTTACCACCTACACATTCCACTATGCGATCACACATGGAAGCAAGAAATATTACATAAATGCATGTACGATGTAGATGCAATCTTGTACCTTCGGAATGATACCAGCTAGGGACCTGGGTTGTTAATTAAGCATACTCCCGTGGAACAAAGAACATGTATGCTATAGTGTCGAAGCAAGTCGGGTGGGAAAAACAAACAGGTGGCTGCCAAAAAGATGTGATAATGATTTCACCCACGAGTACACATTACATGCGCAGCTTGCTTACACGCGCATCAAATGAGTCGACGTGTATATTCTCTTCGCACCACTTCCAAGTGATATCCTTTCAAACGTTGCTCTCACTGCTTGTTGTGCATATGCTACCAGTCAGCCATGTAGAGTAGGTGCACCTCGCACCAGCCCCATCACAAATTTAAGGCGGGACGTCAGCCTAACACTTTAAAAAATGTATCTGTATTTTAGGCCCAGCTGCCTTCGAGACCTCTGCAGATAAGCCCTCGTCAGAAACCAATGGAGTAAAATATACGCAGCCATTTAGTCTAGTAGAGCAACATGACTGTATTCATCAATCAGTCAATATCTGTAACGACCAAAAAACATCGGACATGGCCAATATTTCGATTTCGCGCAAAGGTGCCTCGTTTTAATCCTGGGTGACCACATTCATCCACCAGGACAGTTTGATTCCTTGGAAATCGGTCAAAGTCAAAAATCGACTAAAATTCTCACTGAATCAAGGTACAAGAGCAAGGGGTCAATGCTGCTCACAACTACGCAGCGCAGCCAAACCAACTACGTTGCATGTTCGCACACCGCTCCAAGTTAGCAAGTAATGTTAGGCCATCCAACTGGCGACGGGCGACTTGCTGAGTCCCTCGAACGAATGGATCAATTCAGTGTGTCCAATGGCAGCCATAACATGGGCTTTCGTCAAGGGCCTGTAGGGGCGAGATTACGTCTTGACGTTTGGTTAGACCACCACCCATACAAAATACAAGGGTTGACTTTCCCCAGAACCTTTTCTATCTCTTTACTTATATCTCTTCACCTCATTCTCTGTCTCTCTTTCACTCACCCATCGCTCTCTCTCCCTCTCTCTCTTCTCTCTCTCTCTCTCTCTCTCTCTCTCTCTCTCTCTCTCTCTCTCTCTCTCTCTCTCTCTCTCTCTCTCTTTCTCTCTCTTTCTCTCTCTCTCTCTCTCCCTCGGTATTTCTTCCTCCCTCTCTTGTTTTCTCTCCCTCGCTATCTCTCTCTGTTGCTTGACTTGTTTTACGTTTTAATTTTTACATCGCGAACCCAGCGGCCATTTATCTATCTCTCCCTCCTAGTCTCTCTCTCTGTCTCTATCTCTCTGTCTCTGTCACTCTGTTGTCTCCATCTTCCTGCCTCTATCTTCTTGTCTCTCTGTCTCTGTCTCTGTCTATGTCTCTGCCTCTCTCTCTCTCTCTCTCTCTTTTTCTTTCTCTCTCTCTCTCTCTCTCTCTCCCTAACTCTCTCTCTCTCTTTCCCCCTCCCTTCCTCTCTCTCTCTCTCTCTCTCTCTCTCTCTCTCTCTCTCTCTCTCTCTCTCTCTCTCTCTCTCTCTCTCACCCACACCCACCGCACAGCCACACCTCCACCCTGTGGTGTTCGGTCTCGTCTTACTGGAGGGGAACACGCAGGAAGAGTCACTTCGGCTTGCGTCATCTTATCCAGAGTCAGCTTGGTGTCTGTGACTACAGCGATATCTGCATCAGATGCCAGAAGGTATGCTGAAATTCGCCAAACTTTGAACGGATGCCAAAGGCATTCGTAACCAGCAATTTCAAAGTCTTACTGGTCATTGCTCAGGAGAGGGTCGGCAGGTTGGCGACCATCATCGTTCTGGAGAGGAGGTTCAGACTTGGTGATGTCATCAGTTTTGGCAGGTGGGCTGGAATTATCATGGCGTGCTCCACTGCTTTCTTTGGAACGCCATTGCCTGGGATAAAGTGGCCGGGGCCAGAAGTTTGGAGCTGTAATTGTAGAAACTGTTGCAGCGTCAAATGTCAGACTCGCTGAGATTTTGGCGGTTGCTGATTCGTGCGTACTGCAGTCGTGCACATCCGCAGATGTCCCAACCGCAGCTACTCTGTGTTGCACAAACTCCCTGAGGCGTTCCTCGGTGCATTGGTCGCCTAGGTTGCCAACGTACAGCACAGCTTTCTCTGGCCGGGGGGGCTCCGACGACACCATCCTCCAGCTGTCATCTGCGATCACCGGGAGCACGCACTGCTTCTTGCTACGCTTTGAGTTCTGTACTGGTTGGAGACTGTCTTCATCTACACAGGTTGTATCTTGGTCGCTGCCATCCCCTTCACACTCGTCACTGCTACGGGAGATGTTGCAGGGGAACGTTGCCTCTAGTACTGGGGACCAGAGTCAAACCAGACAATGATGCCTCTCTAAAAAGTGAAGCCCTACTAGTAAACTATTCAATGAATCGCACAACCCAGCGATTTTTTCATTGTTGTATATCTGAGGTAAAATCAACAGTTTATCAATCCCCAACTTGCACCATGAAACTTTGTGTCTGGCACGTATAATGCTATTAATGGTAAGGTATGTGCGAGGCCTCATTGTCTGGAAAAGACGACGAGGGAGAAGAGATGAGCACCCTCCCCCCTCACTGTCTCTGGGAAACAGCCGGGTGACCCCAACGAATGAGGAGTGATACAGAGTTAACACCGTGAGGTTTGCGGGCAAATTTCCTGCAACTCAGAATTTCACACTCTCAGCGACCATCAGTTTCCTAAATTATAGATTATGGTTTTCTCTCACCACCGCATCATAGTTATGTAATCTCTACAATATTGACAAACCATGGACAGCGCTGTTCAAATCTCTTTTTCCATAAATACAGCACCCTCTGGAATTGTCTGCCCCTAAGATCACCTCCTTAACCAGTTTAAGCAAATTTAAGCAAGAACTGCACAAACAGTTTTACGAGCATTGGTTTCACTGCAGTAGAATTCCGTTGAATATGTAGCGTCACATCATATTCTTTAAAAGCTTATCTCCGGCATATTTTTCATCATTTACATGTATTATCCCAGTTCTGCAAGCTTACAATCATATGCTCAAGCGCAGAGCTCTGCCATAGACTATGTCTTTTTCTCTTTTTTTGCTCACCTATTGCTCATTACTTCTTTTACAGATTTGGTATTAATGTAGGTTTGCAGCGTACGGCAAACCGTAGTTATCGCTGACAACCGAGCAGCAGGCAAAAGCCACGCGCGTGGCTAGGCGCGCAACAATGGGGGTGTCTGGCATGCAATGGCGGGCAGCCGTACTGGGTAAAGCCCAGGCCGCAGTACGAGTACGCCCATATGCTCGGGCGAGACTACCCCATATTTGCATAAAGGTATCAGCGCTACTAATGCAATGTTTACTACTCAGGTAAAATAAGGACACTTTTCTGGTGCCGCTGTACTTCAAGATCAGCGCTGCAACTCGCCATGGTGATAATGTGGCTGACGTCATGTTACCAAGGAAAACATGGCGTTTGGCCGTGTTCGCCGCACTCGAGCGCTCAGCTTTTTTTCACAATCTTGTTTTGAAAAATACTTCAAGTCTTTTGCAGCACTTTTGGAGGCCAGTCACATCGCGATCTGTACGAGTATCTTTATCATGGCCATTGTCTTGTGTCGTTTTGAGCTCGAATAGCTTTCTCTGATGAAGGATTCAAATATCATGACGTTCTCTATTTTATCGTGGGCATGAAGCTCCCCACTCGCAGCGGAGATGACATCGGACGGAATAAATGTGTCGAGTCCCGAGCAGGAGTTCTGCTGACAAAAAGTGATTAGCTCCTCGCGACCTGGGGCATGTGAGGACTACAGTTCTAGTTGGGCAATACCCCACGGACACATCTAGCTGGAAGCGCAGAGTCGATTGAGAAAATTGTCATGACGTTCTCTTTTATCGTGGGCATGAAGCTCCCCACTCGCAGCGGAGATGACATCGGACGGAATAAATGTGTCGAGTCCCGAGCAGGAGTTCTGCTGACAAAAGTGATTAGCTCCTCGCGACCTGGGGCATGTGAGGACTACAGTTCTAGTTGGGCAATACCCCACGGACACATCTAGCTGGAAGCGCAGAGTCGATTGAGAAAAATGACCAAGATCATAAAGAAGGCTTGTTTGCTTCCACAAAATGTTTTAGTAGCCGAGTCCACGCACTGAAAACTGCACTTGCATTGTTCCTGTCCAGTCAACTAGTCATACAGTACATCAGTGCAGTACAGAGTGCACTTGCAAGTCACAACGACACGAGCACAGTCCCGTGTACAGTACAGACTCAGTTCACAGTTGTGACCAGCGATCGCGCGTGGGAGTCAAGTACCCTACTCAAGTGCGCATGCTCGGCTCGCTGCATGCACTGTCTGTAGATCTACAGCAGATTGCTGGTGTGATGCACTACATGTACAGCGCAGTCATTTATGTGTAAGAGACAATGTCGGCTATTTTGAAACGGCAATGACAGCTTCATCCATAAACGCGGAGCGTGGGGAATGTCTTTGGCGAATGAGAGCTGTTGCATTGGCTAGCTGTACATCCCAGCAAGCGGGAATGTGCTGGATATCGATACTAAACACCCATTCATCGCGGTGGTGAGTCTGAACAGACCCCGAGGTACGACAGCTTCGTATACTAAATGTGTACAGTGCGTATGGTGAAGCAAGTCGATACTGGTTTCCAGCGAAATGTTGTTATCTATGTACAATATCCACCAATATCCTTTATCTAGGGCCCAAAGGCTATCCAGTTCACCAGGATTTGTGGCCTTACTATTTTTCGTTTTCTCCGCGTTTTGGGTTGAAATCTGAACATAAAAAGTAGCACTGATGACGTCATTCAGCTCATAATTTAAATTTGATATTGGAAATCGATGACAACTAACCCCATGTATCACCACAGAAAATTTGGTTGAAAAATATTAATGTATGCCAACGTTATTACCAATACAAGTTT